GCAGAAGGCCAGGGCTACTCAGGGCTTTTGGGCGTGGTACAGGGACCCTGAATTGGCCCTCTGGGAAGCAAGGTGTCAAACGTCAGGCTAGGAGTTTTATTTCTGCTCCTTCATTGAATCCTTAATTCTATGAGGTTGGCTGAAGATGATGTTAAAGACTCCCGGAGGAGTCTTCCCAGGGGCCTGCGTTAGCGTGGGGCCGTGGAGGTTAAATAGGGTGCATGCGCAGAGCAGCTGCCATCTACTAGTAAGTCCCATAGCGGAGTTTGCTATAATTATAATCATTATCATAATGTCAGTATCAGTGCTTCTCACACAGTAGTTCTAACAATTAAATGAACTAATTTATAGACGACACCAAGAGCTTGACAGTTATGGGTTGCTAAATAAATGTTAGTTTCTTTCACTTCCTTAATGAGATCAATTCAAGAAGTTCATGGTACATTCATTCATATTCCAAATCTACCCGCTGTACAGATGAGCAAATTTTCAAAGTGGGATTTGATCTCGGGTCTACCTAAAGCTGAAGCCTCAGCTGTTTCCATCACGGTTGGCTTCCTTGCCAAGGGCACGCAGGGTCGATGTGGCCAAACCCAATTAACACAGAAAGTCCTTATGGTTGCCCTTGTAGTCATTTTAGGATGGGAGCTTCTCCTAATCTGTGGATTATTTGGTTCTAAATACATTTTGGTCCGTATCATTTTTTCTTTTGCATGCATTTACGTTTTTAAAAATAGGCATGTAGCCTAGAATAATTATAAAAGCGGATACTGCTTTCTAATGAACCAGATAACATTGCCAATATTCAACTATTTTTGGCTAAAAAAAAACGTCAGGCTCATGTGGTTAACCTAAATTTTAATTCTTACTGTGTGTCAGGCCCTATGCTAAGCATTTAAGTATATTTAGCTTATTTAATTTGAATTCTCATTAATCCCCACAACAAACTTGAAAAGCTGAGAATGTGACGGCTCACATTTTTACAGATGAGGAGCTCATGGTTAAGTTCAACTACCAAACATCAAAGGGAAACCACCATATGCAAAGTAACTAAATGTCTTATAGATGCTTTGGCTGAGAAATTCAGTTGTGGTATATATGAAAACAAAGTGAAATAAAAAATACCATTTAAAAATATTTCTTTACAATGGACATATTATTCAGATGAAAACTGTTTTCCTTCTAATCTTAAAATTCTCTATCATTATCTGGTGATCTATCATCCATCTACAGCTTTCAAATTATCTGTAAAGTTAATTATTAATTAATAATTATAATTTCAAATTATAATTTTGAGTCATTGTGATTGGTAGAATTAAGTGCAATGATATGGCTGTCAGAAAATTTACTGTAAAAGAAAATAGGTTCCTAAGTGATCCTTAAAAATATGTCTTTCCTTTCCAATTTTCTCCAGCAGTTTTCCTTGGGCTGCCATTTTACATTTGGGAAAACTGAGACCAGCATTGGCACACTTGACCTTTATTGACAAATTTTAAATGTAAATTTTGTTTTTAGTAATTTTCCTTGCTTCTCCATGAAAATAATTTGTTTACAGGTAGCATCCTCACTAAGTCTGTAATATGCTTTTTAAGTGGTTTTAGAAAAATATTTCTGGAGGGGATACAAAATAATATTATGATGACATAATTTGTTTTACTCCCCTGTAATTTCGTATAAACATACATAAAGCAATATTATAGCATATTAACTTTCTTATATGAGATTAAATTCTCATTAACATATTTTTAATGTTTTATGAAAAATATTTTTATACAAAGAAGTACAATTTCCTCATCTATTTTACCACCATTGCATTTTTTGTTTTAGATCATTTTCATTAAAATATCTTCTGTTTCCTAACCAAAAAAAAAGTTAATTCTTTTTTTCGGGGTGGTAAAGAAATAATTAGGTCATATCCTGTAATTGCTGTTGGAGCTATCAGGCTAGGTTTTATCTTGGCAAAAATAAAATCTAGGTTGGAACTAGAGAACTAAAGCCCTAGAAGATATTGTTACTAGACTTTATGAGATTGTATCAAAATGTGGTATTGTCATTTTTTTTTCACAGTTATCTCTTTTACATTTATGTTGAGAAAAACATAAGCTTTTTCTCTGGATTTTTATTTAGTTTCCAAAAATGATTAAAATTCTACTTAAAACTCACAACACTATAAACCTATATTTCCTGTATACTTTACTTTAATATTTGCATATTTATGTTCACTTTCTCTAATGGTAATGTGGACTGTCATTATGTATGTTTATCTTGTTGTTATAATTCCTTTTAATTCCTTGATTCTTTATGTGGAAGTTACATATTTGAGTTACAAATCTTTTTCATCTCATGAACCATGGGTAGGTGGGTAATAAGTGAATTTTTTTTTTTTTTTTTTTTTTTTGAGACGAAGTCTCACTCCAACACTAGGCTGGAGTGCAGTGGCGTAATCTTGGCTCACCATAACCTCTGCCTCCCTGGTTCCAGCGATTCTCTTGTCTCAGCTTCCCGAGTAGCTGGGACTACAGGCACACCCCACCATGCCCAGCTAATTTTTGTATTTTTAGTAGACAGGGTTTCACCATGTTGGTCAGGCTGCTCTGGATCTCTTGACCTCATGATCCACCTGCCTTGGCTTCCCAGAGTCCTGGGATTACAGGTATGAGCCACCACACCCGGCTATAAGTGAAATTCCTAAAAATCACATTCCCATAGTTCATATGTAACTGTTAGCTACACAGCCAGCAGTAGGCCTGGGACGGCTGCATTGCTGTGGGTCTACAGCTGCTTCCATCACTCAGAAGTAAGCACAGGAGGCGTCACTCCGTTGTCGTGCCGAGACTGTTGCGCTTTCTTACCCTTTTTACCTGGATGGAGTTAAGGGCTGGTTTTGGGCCTCTGGATGTTAAGCGACAGAGGGAACTTTGGTGCTCACACACTGGCTTACCTGGGCACGTGTGCATATACGTGTGCATGCAACACTGCGGTCGCTGGCAGGAAAGGTTTAAGGTACTGCCATTCCATCGTTACAGCTGAAATCAATAGTTCACTGTGGATGGTTGTTTACGACCTAGGTGTCATTAAGCTCTCCAAAGAACAAGATGGTTCACAGGATTTTCCAGAAACTTGACTTGCTGCTAAACTTTTCATGTTAAGAATAAAGGAAAGTCACAAAAAATCTTTTCTGGTGACTCAAATAATCCCTGGATACACTGGGAAGATGTGTAAATATCAGCACTATGTTTGATTTTTACATTCAGGATCAATCTATATCTATTCCTATCTTTGAAAAAAATCCTTGCAAGTTTGGGAGATGGCCTGCTCATTGATCAGAAGGTAACACCTGTCTTCTGTAATAGCAATGCACAAGGAATGGAGGAAAGTCTTTTTAAAGAAATCGCAAAAAATCAGAGCTTCGAATTAATCTGGTTTAGATTACTCAATATTATTAAAGAGTATTAAGGTTAGCCAAATAGAAAGGAAATTTAAATGTTTTCAAATTGTGTGTTATTTAAAACAAACATCAGGGGTTGGGGGTGGTGGCTCATACCTGTAATCCCAGCACTTTGGGAGGCTGAGGAGGATGGATCGCCTGAGGTTCAGGAGTTTGAGACCAGCCTGCTACCATGGTGAAACCCTGTCTCTACTAAAAAAAAAAAAATAAATAAAAAATAAAAATTAGCCGGGCCTGGTGGCAGGCACCTGTAATCTCAGCTACTCAAGAGGCTGAGGCAGGAGAATCACCTGAACATGGGAGGTGGAGGTTGCAGTGGGCTGAGATCGTGCCATTGCACTCCAGCCTGGGTGACACAGCAAGACTGCGTCTCAAAAAAAAAAAAAAAAAATAAAGGGCCCAGAGATAGTTTCCCATTACATTTCCTCCTCCATTCTGAACATCTTGTGCTTTATTTTAGTGAAAAGGTTGTCCCATGAAGGATGTTAGACACTGGACTATGCTACCAAAAGAGTCTGGTCTTGACCTTTGTCCAAGTGTGGGAAGCGCTGGCTCCAGCCCGGCCCATCCCCCAGCCCCTCGGCTGTCCACGCTGCTCTTCCTTTCTGTTTCTGTTGCCACCACCACACTTAGTCCCTTATGGTCTCCAAAGTTACCTTCCTGTTGCAATAACCTCTCCACAGTCCTCTCCTGCCTTCTCTCTATCCCTTTAAATTCATTCTTTACGACTGCCTAATTAAACCTTTATTAGCTCAGCTCTCGTTGCATTTCTCCACTGGGGAAAATCTTCAGAAATGTACCATTATCTGTTGAATAAATTTCAGCTTCCTTGCCCTGGCATTAAGACCTGCGTGATGGGCTTCAAGCCAATTGTCTTCCAATCCTCCCTCCCAGTGATATCAGGCTCCAATTAATCCAAGAGTGAGGGCCTCCCCAGCTCCTCATCTGCTCTTGGGTCATTCCTGCTGGAGTTCCTTCCCCAGCTCTGCTTATGAAAATCTGTGAAGGTGCCTTGATCTCTGAATCGTCAGAGTCAGAAGACTTTCGTCTTTCTTTTAAGCATGAGCAATATTGATGCTTCTCTATAGGCCCTTGACAAATCCCACGTTCTAAAGTTATTGTGAAAATATCTCATTGACAAGAATTAGGCTCCTCGAAGAGGGGAACCATCTTAGAATCCTCTGTGGTGTCTGTCAACTCACCACAAGAGTTGATGTTCAAGAGGTGTTTGTTGGAAAAGGAATATGAAGAGAAACCTAGCTGCCTGAGGAGAGGGGCTGGCCCGCAGCGGTCCGGGGCTCTGGACCTGCGGGATGCAGGTGCCCTAGTCCAGCTCTGGCGGGCAGAGGGATCATGCTGCAGGGTGCCCTGTAGGCCAGCTCTGGTGGACAGAGGGGTCATGCCGCAGGGTGCCCTGTAGGCCAGCTCTGGTGGACAGAGGGGTCATCTGGAGGCAGAGCAGAAACCTGAGAACCCAGACTCAGGGAGAGGCCACTGGATAGCCAGGAACACAGGGATTTGAGTTAAATGGTAAGGCCAGTGCCTCCCAGAAAGGAAGTCTGTGTTCCGAGGTATGGGAGAAAGCATTTGCTTACAAACCTTTGACCAGGAAAGTGGAGGGCCACAGAGGCCAGGCCGAGGCCGAGAAGAGGCCCCGCCGAAACAGCCCACCCGCCAATGCCCCTCCTGTCCCTGACCTGGACCTCGGGCTGAGCTCATGCATATCTGATTTCATTTAAGTAACGGCATTTATGACTGACCATTGTGTGGAAGGCACTATCTTAAGTGCTCTCCAGTTGAGTCATGACACCATAATAGCGACAGTGCTAACAGGTGGAATGTGTTCCATTGCCAGGAGCTGAACTCTGCCTAAAAGCATTATTCCATCTAATCTTAGTAGCTCAACTGTGAGGCAGGTGCCATGATTAGCACCCTTGCTTCGAGTTTAGGTGGTGGAGGCTTAGAGAAGTGAAGCGGTTTGCCCAGGTTCCAAGGGGTAAGTCGAGGCAGCCCCAGGTCCAGGGGTGGGGCAGGCCGCGGGCTCTCAGCCCCTCCTGGTCTTCTTCCTGTTGGCTCAGTCCCTTGCATTTTCACAGGCCACAGAGGCAGCAGCACTTTTTAGATTTGTTGCTGGTCAACATTATTGGTCCCTTGGAAAATTCTCTCCTACAAAATAGGTTATGAATGTAACCCAATCCCCATTAAGATAGTTATTCAGTGATTGCTCTGTGTGTGTGTGTGTGTGTGTGTATGTGTGCGCGCGTGTGTGTGTGTACGGGCACATGAGACTTCAGTGAATTTGGAGTTGGCACGGGGTGAGGATTAGCCGTGACTTGTGGGTGGTGGGTAATGTGAAGAGAACTGGGGGTGCTGTGGTCAAGGTGGGGGGCACAAGCGCCGGCCCGGCCCTGGCACCGGCTCGCCCTGTCGGCGCTCCCGTCTTCATTTCCTCACAGGTGAAGCAGGGCACAGGCTAACCCCTCCCGGATTGTACAGGGACAGCGTTACCGCATGTGCCGCACGCAGCCAGGCTTCACCGACGGATACGCTGTGATGGCCGGGGCTGGAATTGAGGCTGCAGCTATTAATAGGGTGACACTGCAGAACCGGGTGCGTGAAAAGGCTTCCTTCACTCGCATTTCATTCTATTTCAAATGTTATCTTAAGTATTTAGAAAATTAAAAACATTTAGAAAGAAATATGGAGGGGGATCAATGAAAAAAAATTAAGTTATTTACAAAAGAAAAACGGACCCAAGATTCATACGAGAACAATCGCTACTCTTCAGCTATAGTGTCCCTAAGTGAGGCGATTTGGAAATAGGAAAAGGAACTGCACTGTGAAGACATCTCTGAACTGATTAGGTTCTAACGCATTTAAAGCCAAATCAGGAGAACCAGTAAACTAAAGCAAACAATGAGATCAAAGCATCAGCAAATACCATGACCAAACTCAGCTCTGCTCATGTGGGCTAGATATCAGTGCACGGAATTCCAAATTTGCTGGTGTGGCTTCCAGCGACCAGTTCCAGCCTCCCATCTGCATGCCACAGGCTGGCATCTCGATGGCAGCTGGCTGACCCTGAGCCTGTCCTCACTGATGGAGGGACTGCTTTTATCACTGGGCTTCACCTTTGCTAGGCACAGCCCTCTGATCTCACTGTGGCAATTCACAGTTAATTCACTGACGAAGGGCAGCACCTGAATAACTCCCTCCTGAAGAACATCCAAAGCTAAATTCACGTGTATTTCTCTTTAGAGTGCATTCGATGATGTTTGGCTACACACGCCCACTAAGTTGAAGTTATTTTAGATATTCTGTAGAACTAATTTATGTTCCCTGTATATTCTGGAAAGGTAATTGGGAAAAGCCATTCAGAAGTGTTGAGTTGTGTAGATGAGCAGTTATTTTGTAATAAAAATTTCTCTATGCATTGTTTTTCTTAGATAATCGAGAACACATTTTATGCTTAAATTTCAGGCAAACTGATGCATAAAGTGAAGCAGCATTATGAATTTGGCAACATGGAATTTTTAGTTGTATTAGTTCCCATTCAAAGGTATGACAGTAGCGAAACTCTTTTATACTCATTTAGAATTTCAAACGTAGGAGAATGCTAGTAAGTGAATCTAATCCTGGTAGTGATCCTGCATAACGGAGCTTACTCTCCTCTTTTTCAGGTGAGAAAACCAAGGCCGGAAACTGTAACAGGTAAGTCCCAAAATACAGAGCTCCACACTGGGCCACAGGCCCATCGGGCTCCTGCCACAGTGACGTCTGCCTTTAGTGGCCGCAGTTACAGAATACCATGCACATGGAGCATCAGAAAGGAAGGGCAGTCCTCTACCACTGTCAAGTTTACAATTCTTGTGGCTGAGAGCTCAAGACAACTCTGAAGGTGAATCAGACACCAGCCCCACTTCAAACGCCATTATTGCTTGGCATTTCAAGCACATGTGAAATTGCAATTAAGAAAACCCAAGAATCTCTCTGAGATTCTGCAACGAGCCATTATCACAAGATAAATGTCTTTTCTGAAAAACAACTAAAAGATGATACAGAATAAAATGTCGGAATAATGTCTAAATTCTGTGGGGCATAGAAAAAAAAGAACCTGGAGGCCTAGTCTCTCCAAATCATTTCCTTAATTTTTAAGAAAACAACAAAGCCAAATAAATACCTTCTTCTATGGTGTTTCTGCAATTGTAAGATTCTGAATGTGAGATTCTGAAAATCTCCAGGAACCTCCAGACCACATAACCCTCAGCATGGCCATGGTCAGGTCACACTCACTTCTGAGGCTTCCCAACTGCACACACCACACTCAGAGCAATGCGTGCACCCGGGTTCCTCGTTCAATTATTTTTCTCCATTAAATGAATGGAAAATACTTCCGACCCTCCGGCAGGAGACTGGCTGGTGTTCTGTGTCTGGTGTTCTTCGCTCAAACGCTTCCATTTTGAGTGTCAAAAGAATATGTGTGCAATGGTCAGGGCTTGGGGTGTCCATTTGGGGTTATCTAAGAGAAGGTCAGGATTGAAAATAAACATGCAGGAAATGCAGTGTCAATGCATCCCCAGAGCTGGCTCAGCTGTGACCTAGATCCCGCGGGCTGTGAGGGGCCTGGGTGGCCTCCCTTGGACAGGCTGAGCATGGCCGCGTGTGTGGCCTGCGGGGACAAATGTGGGGACAATGGCTGCCAGGAAGGCTGAGGGTCCCCAGCTTCCAGGGTTGGGAAACTGGCTCTTCCTGGCGAGGGGTCCCTTTGTCTTTTGTAAGCACTGTGGGGACCAGGTTTCTAAAATGTTGTTCAGACTTTGCAAAGTGAAGGTGAGAGCATGCTGTGTTTTTGACCTTCAAGGAACACCAAAGCAAACGCGACCCCGGCATTAGCCTGCCATTTCTCTCCTCAGGGCCCTTGATTCTACAGCCTCACATTGTCCTGAAAAATCACTTTTGTTCCCATGGCCACCAACCCATATGCACTAGACTTTTAAAAGTTAGGTGCGAACTACTCATGTGCTATCTGCTCCATGGGAAAAATAATCAGATGGTCTTTGAGGCAGTACACACTCACACATTCATATACATACATGTACATATCTACACATACACAAGCATACATATGCATATCTACATATATGCAAGCACACATACATTCACATACATAACCATATACAAATACACACACATACACACCCCATATATGCACACATCTACACATGTGTTCACATAAACACACACATACACATATGTACATACATACATATGTGTACATAAACATCCATACACTTACCTACCACATATACATATTTATGTAGTTTTAAAGTGACCTGTTGCAGAAAGTTTCCCCTCAAAAAGCCTTTTGGGGAGCAGGGAGGGACGATACAGAACTCAGTAAGGAGGCTGTTTCATTACAGAGGGCCAAGGCTCACATGAGGAGGTAGGAACTGTTGAACTGAGCATGGACACACTACCTATTCTCGAGATGCTCTTTGACAATAGCACTTTCTATGGCAGAAATTATGATCATATTGATTCTGCAAATTAGTTGCCAATTCTTGACTGAGTTAAAGTTTTTTTTTTTTTTTTTTAATACTTTAAAAGGGGTTTAGATTAGTAGTGTGGTCTTTAAATAATGTTTTTGTAAAACTAGCTTTAGAAACCAAAATTTCATCTTTGTTTCTGCCTCTCTGATATTCTTTATAGAACATTGTTTTATTACTATCTGTGTTATTATGTGCAGTAAACATAAATGTCCCACTTTATGTATCAATAATAAAATATGCATTATTTTCCTAAAAATGGCAGTACACACTGCTATTTCCTGACAATAAATATTTATGGACAACTCACGCCAGTTTTATCATCCATACCAATTGTAACAGATGTGAGCTCATCATTCAGTCTGGAAGGTTTTGTAAACCACTGAATAACCAACTCCCATCCATTCCGAAAGACACGGACTATAAAATAGTATGAATTGTCAGTAAACAGTTATTCTGATGAAATATTCCATTCATCCCTCCACTTGCATAAAGATAGCTCATGCTCCAAAATATGCATACTTTTATAGATGGAAGAATAATTTTTAAAAGTGATTTACGTGACAGAGCCATGCAATAGGGCATTTTCCTTCAAGTTCAAGAAGGAGGCAGATACAAGGAGCCTGTGTCACCAAGGGATGGAGTGCTGAGTCATTCCGTTCCTTCCAGCAGCCTAGCTAAACAGCGAGGCTCCTTGCAGAGCTGACAGTGAAATCAAGCCGGCTGAGGCGGGTGGTGTGCCTACTGTGGGCAATGGGCTTTGCTAGCTGCTGTCATCCACCTCAGAGGAATTTATAGCAGCACATGGTACATGCGTCCGTGTTAGCTCTGCTCCTCATGCAACAGGCATCGGAGCTGCTCTGCCTGTGCAGGAGCTGTGGTTATTACTGCAGCCCATCGCAGGCAGTGCCTTCTCTTGGACTTCATCTCTGCTCCAGCTCTCTGCGCTGGGCCATCTTCCTAATTGCTTCTCTGGCAAATATCTCCCGGCCCTTTGGCTTCTCCCACCACGATGTGCAGCAGAGACTAAAGATGTCAGGATTGGGCTAGGAACTGAGGATACACTGGCTGACAGAACAGATCTGGTCCTTGACCTCATGGGGATTCAGTCTAGCAGGGAAGAGGAGCTTTAAATAGATCATCACTACTACTGTGCTATGGGAGCTTAGACGGGAGATCTAGCCTGAACTGGGGTTGGCAGTGTGCGGGGTTGGGGGGGCTGCCTGAGTGGGGATGCGTCAGGAGAACAGAAGGGAGGAATCAGGAGGGGACAGGGGCGTTAAGGATCACAGGCAAAGAGAAGGGCTTGTTCAAAGGCCCTGAGGTAGGGGACAGTTGGATCCGTTCAGAAGCAGAGATGAGTCCGGTGGAGTTGCAGGTGGGGTGGGGAGAGGGGTGTCTGGAGGAGGCTGGACAAGCAGGCATGATTCAGGTGACTACGGCCCTGAGGCCCCCGGGATGGGTGGTCACCTTATTCTAAGGGCCAAACAAGAGGCCGAGGAAGGCTCAAACGGATGAGGGCATGACTGATTTCGAGTCGAGGCTGCTGTTTGGACACTGTTTGATGGGGGTGAAGCTCCATGACTACTGCACTGTCCCAGGCAATGCGATGACAGTGGCTTGGTCTAGGGTGATAGAGGAATGAAGATATATTTTGGAGAATTAAAAAACAGCTAGAACATGGTGTTAAACTTGGTAAAGTGAGGGAGAGGGATGCCTGGATTTCTGCCTGTGCAAAGGGATAGACGGCAACATTTTTAGCAGAGGCAATGGAGGAGGACAGAAACTTGAGGAGAGAGGGGCTGGAATTTGCCTTTGGACATATGAAGGCCAGGTCCCTCAGAGGCATCAGAGGGGAGGCGGTGGGTGGGGGAGCTCAAATACCATGGAGAGGCTGGAAGAGCAATTACATGATGTCATCTGTGACAATACTGGTTTTATTTCTGGCTTTGAAACATCTAGAATAAGAAAGTTTAAAAAATCTAAAATAAAAACATCTAAAAGAAAATAAGATTAATCTGTTAAATACACTATGAGCTTTAAGGAGCAATTTTCTAATAATCACTCACATCTCCCAGTTCCTAGTTCAAGGCTGTCTGCCAGACCACTGTTCTTCATCATGTGGGCAGAAGAAACGCATGTCTGTGAACTCTGCAGGGACAGAGGGCAGTGATACAGGCTGGAACCGAAGATGACTGCCCTCTAAAGAAGCCGACAATCTGGGACTGAGCTCAGTACATCCAGTAGCCGCTGGCCCGGCCCGGGGCCGCCAGCAAGCTCTCTGACCCTTGGCTAGTTTTTATGCAAGATGGCAAGAGGGACAATATAATTTTTCAGATAACTCACAGTTTTATCATCTTACAATTCTTTGGATTGCAATCATAAAAAATTCAGAATAAATCTGTTTATTAAACTCTAATTTGCTTTTTTTTGAGATGGAGTTTTGCTCTTGTTGCCCAGGTTGGAGTGCAACGGCATGATTTCTGCTCACTGCAACCGCTGCCTCTTGGGTTTGAGTGATTCTCCGGCCTCCCGAGTAGCTGGAATTACAGGCATGCACCGCCATGCCTGGCTGATTTTGTATTTTTTAGTAGAGACGGGGTTTCATCACATTGGTCAGATGGGACTGGAACTCCTGACCTCAAGTGATCCACCTGCCTCATCCTCCCAAATGCTGGAATTACAGGCGTGAGCCACTGCACCTGGCCCATATTTGTTTTTATTAGAAAAACTTAACGCATTGTTTTATCAGTAATATTGTGTTTATGGCATCCTAATCTGAAAAATATAATTTTAATCAAATTGCATATTTATTTCTTTGTTCAGGTTGATCCCTAGTTTCCAGTCTTTTTGGATATATAATTGCTGGTTACAAATTAGAGGGCTGATTCCTTCATTGCAATTTCCACATCTTTGAGTTAAGCTCTTTTTAGAAATTATCAGGAGTGTTGTGTTCACACATGGAAACTCAGACACTAAAATACACATCTGTCCAACCAGAATCAGGAAAGGTCATGTATGTCTCTTTTCATTGACACCACCCACATTTATAAACTGAGTGTATATTACAAATATCCTTTCAATTAATCTAAAAATTGATTTTGATTTTTTCATGAAAATTATGTCATCTAGTAATGTCCATAGATGCTTAAGGTGATTTTTAAATTATGCAAATGCAAAAGACATAGAATGCCAAGAATCAGTGGTAAAAAATATTCAAGAGCTTCTTTTTTAAATAAAATGATAATCACTAAAATTTACATGTTTACACAAAACGTGTAAAATGCGTACCAGTGTCAGGTCAATGTAGCAATGGGTGCAAAGGCCTTCCTTGTAGAAGGGCTTGATGATTGAGCAATTTGGGGCCATGTGTTTGCAGAAAGAAATTGCTGCTTCCCATTGTTTTTTATGTCAAAAGCAAGTGAAGAAAAGTGCACAACTGGATGGTATAAGTTTGTCATGGCGAAATCCTAAACCTTTAAGATAAATTTCTTTTATTTTCTTTTTTTTTTGAGATGGAGTTTCACTCTTGTTGCCCAGACTGGAGCACAGGGGCACAATCCCGGCTCACTCTAACCTCCGCCTCCTGGGTTCAAGTGATTTTCCTGCCTCAGCCTCCTGAGTAGGTGGGATTACAGGTGTGCACTGCCATGCCCAGCTAAGTTTTTGTATTTTTAGTAGAGATGGGGTTTCACCATGTTGGTCAGGCTGGACTCAAACTCCTGACCTCAAGGGATCTGCCCACCTTGGCCTCCCAAAGTGCTGGGATTACAGGCTTGAGCCACTGCATCTGGCCCAGATGAATTTCTTTTGATAAAAAGAAAAATGAATGTTTTTATAGAGGGTAAATTAGAGACACAGGAGGTAGCTTTTCAGTCAAGACTTCTTGACCAAGGACTTCATTTAGATTTTCACTTTTTGGCTCTAAGAGGATAGATTTGACCCATTAATTACTTGAAGGGGTGGAAAATTTCCTTAAGTCTGTGTGTGTATTAAGATGAGTATAATTTGTATATCACCTCAAAGTCTTTGACTTACAATGAACATAACTATGGTGAAATTTTTCTTCTCTGGTGGCCCACTTTAAATGTCTTTATATTATCCAAATGCTTTATTCAATGAGGAAAAGAAAATTGCACTTCTCTTCAAGTGACCCAAACAAGAATTTTTAGAAATCTGAATATTCAAATTAATGCTTCTATTTCTATTGATTTAATCTACAATATTTTTAAACATTCTTGAAAAACTTGACCTGCTTCTTGTGTACTGTGATACTCATTTGATTTTATCTTGAACATTTAAGAGATTTTTATTTTAATAAGAAAGAAAAGAATGCTGTCAAGATATCGGCTAAAGTTAACTGAATTTGGAATGCATGACAGAATTGGGTGGGCCTCATTTCTTTTCCTATGCTGTTAAAATACTAGATCAAAAGGTTAGCTCAATGTAGCCTGACTCACATACAGTATATTTTAATTACATATTATTATTCTATGAATTCTGTATTTTGCTTAGAACTGGTAATTATTGAATATGTTTAAATTTTGTCTTCAAAATGATAAATTGAAGGTTCATTTACTAGAGATCTTCTTATAGATTTCTATTTCTGAATTAAATGAAATGAAACGTACACTATCTAGATTTTATATAGAAAAAAAAAGTCATCTTGAGTTTTAGCTTTTGTTTTTTTTTAGCACTTGTGTGCCAGTGTTCTGATCTGCCCTCACTGTCCAATGTATTTTACATTGTGTTGCAGGCTCACCCTTTCTACGGTACAGCTCCAGCCATGCTGGCTGCTGCCGCCCCACTCCCATCCCTTGCAGACACCTTTGAGGACTGTGCTGAGGCAAAGTCTCAAATCTCTCCACAGGAGCCAAGGGCTTCCTCGATGGCAATGATCTGCCCTTCCTCAGTCCTGAGGGTGTTTTTCCCAGTAGCCTTGGGACCACCGCTCCAGCCGAGTCCAGTAGTGCCTTGTATTTGCCCACTTGTGCTTGCACTGGCTTCTGCGCCTGGAGCATCTCCCCATCTCCAGATGTACAAATCCTACCCATCCTGCTCATCTCAGTTCAGGTGATACCCTTTTCATGATCTGACAGGAAGGAGCCTCTTCTACTTCCTCCTTGTGATTTTAACTCTACTTCTCATGACATCATTTCCTGCCATGAGTTGTGGTTTACATGCAGTACAAACCAATGTTTGTGTTCTCCAAATTCATATGTTGAAGTCCTAACCCCTAGTATGGCTGTATCTGGAGATAGGACCTTTAAGGAAGAAATTAAGGCCAAATGAGGTCAGATGATTTAATAGGATTCATGTTCTTACAAGGAGGCGCCAGAGAGCTTGCTCCCTCTCTCTCCCTGTGCACATGCACCGAGGAAAGGCCATGTGAGTGCACAGTGAGAAGGTGGCCACCTGCAAGCCAGGAAAGGAGCCCTCACCACATGCTAAATTGGCTGAACCTTGATCTTGGACTTCCTGTCTCCACACATGAGAGGTCATAGATTTTTGTGGTTTCAGCCGCTCAGTCTCTGGTGTTTGTTTGGCTATGGCGGCCTGAGCGGACTAAGACAATATGGGATAGAGGGGAGCTTTCCGTTTAGAATGAAGACCTCGAAATGAGTGTTCAGTGAACATTTGCCTTTGCTCGCCACACTGCCTGGTTCTGTGTGCCTATGGGGTAGTGCACAGTATAACTCCTACCAGCTCTAGATGCAGTGAAATCAGGGCAAACCCCAAACTGTTGAGCAGCCCAGGCAGAGAGGGCCAGCTCAAGAGCCACAACTGGGGACCTGTGGCGGTGCCAGCGTAGGGGTGTGGAGTAGGATGTTCAGAGGAGGCGTGGCTCAGGACACGGCGGCAACAACATGGCTTCTGGAGGTGGCATAGTCACCCCCTAAAGTGATAACCCCACATCCCACACATACAACATGAGCTGCTAGATTTGGGGGGATGGAGTGGAGAACAAGCAGAGGCCATGCAGGGTGGAAGTGGGGTGGAAATGCATGGTGAAGGAAGGGACGGCTGGTCGGGTGGCAGCAGACCTGAGTGAGAACAACCCCTGCCTTCTAAAGGGAGGGCTGACTCGGAAGCTGCCAGTGCAAAGGACGAACCTCAGGAAAGAGCCACAGACCCCAAAACAAGGATGCACAGTGCAGGCCCAGGCTGGATGCCCTCCTAGGTTGCTTTGGGAAGATAATTCTTCTCAGGTAATTCAATAACATAGGAATAATCTATCTTCATGGAGTTGACTCTCCTTCTCTCAAGCAAGCTCTTTCAATTAGGTGGAAAATACGACTCATTTGATAGTGAATAATTTGGAACAAAAGCCAGCATAGCACTGATATGATAAAAAGTACAGGAGGGAGTAGTGAAAATTACTACAGGAAGGGTATTCACACATACTCACAGAAACAATGGCCAAAAGAACTCTTACTAAATATTAAACCTCTGATTGAATTCAATATTAAAGACCCCTTAAAGCAAAAACACAAGATCTCAGGGACAGACAGTGAGACTATCAGAGGAAATGAAAAGCAAGCTGACAGCATTCAGAAAAGAGTTAAAAAAATCATAGAAATGGAAATCAAATTGAAAAGAGCAAAGGAAGAATTGCACTAGGGAAAACTTGGTAAAGATATAGACAATATAAATTAGAAAAATTAAGCAAAGTCAAATTGAAATAGGGAATTTAAAATGATTGAAGATCTATTCAACATAGTATTGGAAGTCCTAGCCAGAGCAATAGACAAGAGAAAGAAATAAAGGGCATCCAAACTGGTAAAGAGGAAGTTGAACTGTTGCTGTTAGCTGATGATATGATCTCATACTTAGAAAATCCTAAAGACTCATTCAAAAAGCTTCTAGAACTGGTAAATGAATTCAGCTAAGTTTCAAGATACAAAATTAATGTACACAAATGAATAGCTCTACCATATACCAACAGTGACCAAGCTGAGAATCAAATCAAGAACTCAACCCTTTTCACAAGAGCTGCAAAAAAAAAAAAAAAAAATTAAATATGTAGGAATACACCCAACCAAGTACATGAAAGACCTCTACAAGCAAAACTACAAAACACTGTTGAAAAAAAATCATAGATGACAAAACCAAATGGAAACACATCCCATGTTCATGGATGGGTAGAATCAAAATTGTGAAAATGACCATACTGCCAAAACAAATTACAAATTCAATGCAACTCCCATCAAAACACCATCATCATTCTTCAAAGAACTAGAAAAAACAATCCTAAAATTCATATGAAATTTAAAAAGAGCCCAATATGCAAAGCAAGAATAAGGAAAAAAAAATCTGGAGGCATCACATTACTTGACTTCAAACTGTACTATAAGGCCATAGTTACCAAAACAACATGGTACTGGTATAAAAATAGACACATAGACCAATGGAACAGAATAGAGAA